TGAGGGTTGCGATCCGTTGCCGGTCACGAAAAAAGACAAAAAGGGAAGAAAAAAAAAAATAGAATTAAAAGGTAATACAAGCCTTTCCATGAACTTTTTGAAGTAGCCTCATATAGTCTGATATATTTCTGTGTTGGTAGTGTTTTGTTGAGGACTTTGGGTCCATATTCATAGGTGGTATTGGTCTGTAGTTTTTCTCTTCTCATGATGTCTTAGTCTGGCATTGGTGTTAGGATAATATTGGCCTTGTAAAGTGGAATGGGAAATGTCCCTCCACCATGTTTTCTGAAAGAGTTTGTGAGGAATTGGTGTTATTCAGGTTTGGATTCCCCTACCAGCTAGTCACTAAATAAATAAATATATATATATATATTTTTTTTTTCCTTTTCTTTTTGGCTTTTTTACTGACCAGTAACAGGATCGCAACCCTCGGTGTCGTGCCCATACCGGGGACCGGCAATGGGATCGCAACCCTCAGTGTTGCGCCCGCACCGTGCTCAACCAGTGAGCGGGAACCAGTCTCCACGTGGGATCCGAACCCTCGGCGGGAGCGCCACCGCGCTCCCAAGTGGCGCACTCTCCAGTGCGCCACTGGGCCGGCCCAATAAATAAATATTTTTTAAAAAGAAATTGGTATTATTCTTTAAATAATGGTTAGAATTCTCCAGTTATCTGGGCCTGGTTTTTCCACTGAAGTAAGATTTTTAATTACTAATACAATTATTTTTTTATGGGTTCCATTTAGATTTTCTGTTTCTTTTTGAGTCAGTTTTGGTCATTTGCGTCTTTCTAGGAATTTTTCTATTTCATCTTAGTTATGTTGTTTTTGTTTTCTTTTTCTTTATTATGGCAACTGGCCAGTATAAGGATCGAACCCTGACCTTGGTGTTAGCAGCACCGCACTCTAACCAGCTGATCTAACCAGCCAGACCCTGTTTTTATTTTCATTCAATCCAAAATATCTTCTGATTTCCCTTGTGACTTCTTTTGTGTGTGTGTCTGTGATTTCTTTTTTGAATCATGGGTTATTTAGAAGCGTGTTGCTTAATTTTAAGCATTTGTGTATTTCCCAGATTTTTTTCTGCTATTGATTTCAAATTTAACTCTCTTGTGGTTTGAGAAGATACTTTGTATGGTTTTCGTTTTTTGGAATTTATTGAAACTCATTATATGGCTTAGAATTCTGGAGGATGTTTCATGTGCTTTTGGGAAGAATATGTATTCTGTAGTCTTTGGGTAACATGTTCTATATATATGCTAGTAAATTGGTGGGTAGTGCTGTTTAGGTGATTTTGTATCGTTGCTGATTTCTGTCTGGTTGTCCTATCAATTGTTGAGAGTGAGATAATAACATTTCCACTAATTTTAGTTGAAATATCTATTTCTCTATTAAATGTCAGTTTTTGTTTCATATACAGTATTTTGATGCTCTGTTGATTGGTGTGTGTTCACTTAGAATGGTTATATCTTTCTGATGAGTTTAATGTTTTGTCATTATCAAAGATCTGTCTTTGTCTCTAGTGATATTTTTTGTTTCAAATTCTGTGCTACCACAGGTTGGCTGGTTAGCTCAGTTGGTTAGAGCATAGTTTTATAATTCCAGGGTCACAGGTTCGGATCCCCATACTGGCCAGCCACCCAAAAAATAAACAAATAAAATTAGTAAAGTCTGTTCTGTCTTATATTAGTATAGTCATTCCAACTCTCTTATGGTTACTGTTTGCATGTTACAGCTTTTTCCAATCTTTTACTTTCAACCTGTCTCTTTCTTTGAATCCAAAACAGCATGTGGCCAGATCTTGCTTTTTTATCTAGTGTGACAGTGACTGCTTTTTGACTGAGTTTCTAATAGAAGACCATTCATATTTAATGTAGTCGCTGGTATGATTGGGTATACATTCACTGTGTCTTTTCTCTTTGTCTCCTGTTTTTGTTCTGTTCCTCCTTTACTCCCTTCTTTTGTGTGAAAAACTTTTCTACTGTACCGTTTTATTTCTTCTGTAGACGTCTATTTTCACTATACTTTTTAAGTTACTATCTTTGTATTTGCTTTAGGGATTACAACATGAATCTTAATTTATCACAGTATTCGTGAAATTAATGCTAACTCAGTTCCAGTAACGTTAGAAATTTTGCTCTAATATAGCTCCATTCCCTCCCTCTCCTTTCCTTTGTGCTGTTATTGTTGTATACATTGCATCTATATATGTTATAAACCCTCCAGCACAGTCTTAAAATTAATGCATTATACAATTTTATGGCTTAAAAATGTTAGTAGAGGGC